TATATATATATATATATATTTGATGAGTAGTATTTTTAAAAAAATTAATTGACTACAAGGCTACAAAGATTTAAAATCAATTAAATAATTATATGATTTAAATTTTACCCCAATCTTTAAATATCTTATGATCACGTGATTAGGATTGTCAAAACGACTCTTTGTTCGTGAACGACTCGTGTTCGGCTCGCTAAGCAAACGAGCAGAACATGAACACATTTTTTGAGCTCGAAATATAAACAAGTTGAACACCAGCTGAGCCTGGGCTCGCTCGTGTTCGACTCATTTACACCCCTAGCCGAATATATCATAGCTCGAACTTGGCTTTGTATAATTAGAAATTATTCGTGCTCGGCTTGAACTTGTGTCGAGCTTTTATATATTGTTCAAGTTTGACTTGTTTAAATTTTTAAATGTATGAACTTGATTTGTTTATGACAAGTAAACGAGAATTTAAACGAGCTAAAAATTCAAACGATTATCTATATTTTCATTTAAAAAATTTAATAAATAATTTTATAAATGTGATCGCACCTACTAATTTATTTATTATAAACTTTCTAAAAATAAATGGTAAGTCATGGATCATGATTATATGAGTTTTAATCTCTCATATTTTAGCATGATCATATTTTCAAGTTTGCACCCAATTCTCACACTCAAATGTAGATGCATAGGTGAGCTGGTATGCATGTAAAAAATTGAATCTTAGGTGTTCCATATGTAAAAATATGGGAATTGAGTTGTATGTATGTAAATCTTCCTTTTTTTTTTTTTATTTTTAAGATATCCTGTGTTCTTTGATGATAATGTACCATGCCGTAATAAAAATTTCGCACATTCAACTTTGCTAATTTGGTCCTAAAAACTTGTTGGCAGGATGTATCAAGCTCTACTAGCGTCCGGCGATATCAATGCAGCATCAAATATTCTGAAGAGAATAACAAAGGATGATCCTCATGTTCGATACGTCATCGAGTCTTGTAAAGCCACTTACAGCAATAAACATTACAACAACCCCAAAATTACATAGGTATTATGTATCCTTTTATGATAGGGAAATGTGCTCTCATTTCTCATTTTGATAAATTATTTCTTGGTTGAATTACACAGCCTAAGTGGGATTGATATTGAAATTTCAGAAACTTCACCCTTTACTTGGATTAATTACATACATACCCACTATTTCAATATCTAACACCTAAACTTTCGATGTGTAATTACGTCGGAATAAGTTTATGGTATGTATGTAAATCCCCCAATTGTACTTCGAAATGTGCCCAGAACATAGTGCTGAAAATTTAGAAAAACACATCTAAATGTTGGAACTTAAGGTTTCATTTTCAATTGAGGAAAACTTTGCATTGAAATTAATTTTTTTTATTAGTAAAATGCATATAGATAAATTGTGCTTCCTTTATTTCCCAACTTCCATATATGCGTATGGTAGACATTGCTAGTGGCATGTTCCTAAAACGAGATTTATATGTGGCATTATTTTTGGAATTTTTATAAATCTTTATGATTTGGTTCCTATGAACTAGAAGAATACTGCTAAGCTATCTCCTAGCAATTTTATCTATAACTTTGTGCCTAAGAACTTTGAATGGGGTACCAAGGAACCAGTTCATTAGTGCCTAGGCTTTATCTACCCTGTCTTTTAATCAATGTCCTAGTATATAAGCACCCAAGATAGTGACACATTGGCAATACGTTCATCTAGGGCCTAAGTGTTTTTTCATCCAAGACCATAATGTTGAAAATTTTTTTAGTACATGAATCCATCTATATGTAGAGAGTTTGTCTTTATTCATTGATTATCACTTCTTCCCTAAAATATTACACTTCACCAGTAGGGCTGTCAAAACGGCTCGTTGTTCGCGAACAGTTCGTGTTTGGTTCGTTAATTTCGTTTAATAAGTTAACGAGCCGAACACGAACTAAGATGTGTTCGTTCGTGTTCGGCTCATTTTGGCTCGAAATACTACTCATTAAGTTTATATATATATATATTAAGTAGTAATTTAAAAAATCTAATTGACTACAAGGCTACAAAGATTTATAATCAATTAAAATATTGATTAAGAAAATAGAATAAAAATTATTAAATTAGATTCAAATGATGTTTTAATATAAATAATAATTTTTAAATTTTGCTCAAACCTTTATTGTCTTATGTTTTATGGTTACAAGATTAGGGTTGTTAGAAGGATTCTTTGTTCGTGAACATTCGGCTCGTTAAGCAAACGAGCCGAACACGAACATATTTTTTGAGCTTGAAATATAAACGAGCCGAACACGAGCGAGCCATCCTCAGCTCGTGTTCGGCTCGTTTACACTCCTATTCATCAGTTCTCATGTATAATCGTCTTTTCTGTTTACCATCATTTAAATGGTCCTAAAATCAATCTAATTTTTTTTTTATATCACTTAAAATAAATGTTGCAATTAGCAAGAGTTTGTAGTGAATAAGCACTCATTTATCAATACTCACAAGCTTAAACTAATGCTTGTCCTCAGTGGAATATAACTGCAGTGAGCCTTAATTCTTAAATCTTGTTAAAAGTATGATACTGAACAACCCCTAAGGGGGGAAGCTGCTTTAATTCTGAAGCAATGCTGAAAAGAAATAGTAGTAACATCGTGTGGATTAAGGAAAAAAAAAAGGAAATTTTCTTTAAGAAAAGGAATTTCGATTCTTCACAAAAAAAAGAATTTTTTTTACTTTATGAAATTTAATTTTTCAAATAATCTTTTTTTTTTCTTCCTTTTTCCAAAGTATTCTGCTAAAGAATTTTTTTGGAAAAAAATATTTTCATTAGTGGGAGTAATAACATGATTTCAAACTCTTTAAAATTTAATATGGCAGTGGAAAAGTCAATTTATCAGGTGGTTAAATCTTATCTAAATTGATATGATGAAATTTGACGGCAAGAGAACTTTAGCATGTGACGATGCAAGGTGATAGATGTGTTGTGTTCTCTTAATCTGTAAGAGGTTGTGAATAGCGACGAATGTCTTGAAGCGATGTCAGAGAGAGATTGGTTGAAGTTGAACAGGAGTGTTTTTCGCTTAATCTGAAATTGCTTAATTAAGAAAATCAAATATGGGTGATAATGGAGACTTCTGCAATAAAATTATGGATGATGCTCGAGAACAAATATCTCATGAAGAGTTTGGAGAACCGTTTTCATATGAAGCATTGTCATATGAGATGGACGGTTAGTATTGATAAGCACTTGAATAACTTTACTAAGTTGTTGACAGATCTGTTACATTTGAATGAGGATGTTAGAGATGAAGACAAGACGCTTCTTTTGTTGAATTCGCTTCTGAATGAGTATGAAAACTTTACTATGACACTCATTCATGGGAATGAGGTCTTGAATTATGGTGAAGTGATTTTGTCACTGTTGAATCATGAATTCCATCAAAGGGAAAAGGATTCTCCAAAGATGGAAACAACTGAGGCACTTACACTCCCAAGTAGTAGATTGAGAAGAAGAAGAATTTGACAAAGAAGGGTGGCAGCACAGATACTTCTCAAAAGCAGGGCAAGTCTCATGGGCGTAATCTTGGGAAAAATTTGTGTGCTTACTTACTGATCATTGGAAGAAAGATTGTCCGAAGCTGAAGGAGAAGGGAAAGAAAGTTGCATCTGAGGTGAAAGCCAATTTCATTGTGGAAAGGTCTGAAGAGGCGGATTTAGTTGTATCGTTATCTACAGTGTCTCATAGTTATTTTATAAATGATTCATGTTGGATTTTTTATACAGGTGTTGTCTATCATATTTGTTCTCATCAAGGATGGTTTTGTACGTACAAAGATCTAGATAGTGGTTAAGTGACTGTGGGCAACGATCAAGCTTGTGGTAGTATTAGTGTAGAGAGTATCTTTATCAAGATTTATGATGGTATTGTGGGGGAGCTGACAGATGATAAAGATATTCTAGATATCAGGAAGAATTTATTGTAAGTTTTGGCTTTAGAATCCAAAGGCTATGGAGGCAGGAGTTATGAGGATATGTCGTGGAGCAATGGTTTTTATGAAAAGAGTTCATCATCACATTCTTTACAATCTTCAGGGTAGTACAATGACTGGAACGACTATTATTGTTGATAATCTTTCTGACGTTATTATGTTGTGGCATATGCGGCTAGCTCATGATGGAGAAACTTCACTTCAGTCTTTGGTGAAGAAAGGATTGATCAAATGAACAAACACTTGTAAACTTAATTTCTGTGAACATTATGTGAAGACACAGGTATCCTTTAGGACTGTCATCCACAGTACAAAAAATATTTTAGAGTTTGTTCACACAGATATTTGGGGCCCGACAAAGACAGGATCATTCAGCGGGCGAAGATGTCGTCTCTTTTTTATATATAGATTGTGTATTAGAAATTGGGAGTTTTTATGTCATAGTTTTGCATGAGGACTTTTTAACAAAACAATATGATACTAAAATAATTACTCGTGTTAAAAACTTCGAAGAGGAAAAGGAGCAAAGAATCCGACTCATGTAAAATAATTTACTATATTAGCTTAGCTTATAAAAATATATCCTTGCATATGATTACAAAATAATACATATTACATTAGCTTATTTTTTTCCCGGAAATATGATGAAAATAGTGGATTATTAACTTGTTAAACCCTAAATAAAATATATTAATAAATCAATTTTATATTTATGGCAATCGACCCACCCTGAACCCAACCTGGGTCCACCCTGGTCGCCATCGTTGGGCTGCCATCCATCACCGCCGGATCTTCCCCAACAGTGATGCAGCCGGTGGCCACCGACCTATGGAGGAGTGAATGACGACAAGTGGAGTAGGGCGAGTGCGAGGAAAGCCCCTGTGTCGATGCATCTAAAATGGAAGCTCTGTTCACAGCTCGGTAATACTCGTAGCATCTGTCCATCGACCCGCAAACTAACTAAAGCCAAACTTGGTCGAGTGAGAGATAGTACGAGTGCTACCGAGCTGTCATAGGAGCTTCCATGTTTAATGAATTGATAAATGGCTTTCCTCAATAAGTCTGTGATCGCAGCCTGCAGCACAATTGGGGAACACCCTGCGGAGATTGAAGATTGAAGTTAATCTTCCTGCTTAAATTTTGCAATTCTCATCCAGCATGTATATCAGACGTATAGTAAGTAATTAGCATACGTAAAATCAAAGAATGAAAGCAAGCTGATATGAAGAAATGATCTCCATAATCCAATAAGATATGAATGAATGCATGTGATCGAAGACCTTCATTTATAGTGTAAGAGTTGGAGAAACAAGAGAAGAAAAGTTTAACCGAGAGATATAAATTTATAATTAACTTTATATAATTACATGTTTTATAAGAATATGTTTATATATAAGTAATAGAAGAGATTAATAAAGAAAATTATTTACATAATTAGTTGGTCGAAGGAGATTTGTCGTATCCTTAATGACAATTGTTTTTTAGATTATCATATAATTAAAGATGGGCCTTATATGTTAGTAACTATTTATGAGCTTAATTTTAATGTTATAATTTCTATTAATCTTGCTTTTGTTCAAACTTATCCAAAATTTCTTAGCATTAGAAAATCATCAAATTGTATAAGAGTTAGAGAAGCAAGAGGATAAAGTTTTAACTTGAGGAACTTGAATTATAATGAGCTTTATTCAACTAGATGTTTGTAAGAAAGTGATTATATATATATATATAAAGATGTAATAAAAGAGATAATTAATGAAGAAATAAATAATAAATTAAATATTCGATCGGAATAATAAAAAAAATATTACTATAATTAATACTTATAAATTCTTACTATAAATATAGGATGCATGCTCTAATATTTATATACAAAGCTATCTTACAAGTATGGGGTCTAAAATGACTATAATCTATGGATCCAATGCGAAGATACTTAACTAACTAGCATACACAAAAACAAAAGAATATTGAAAGCAAACCCAAAATGAAGAAATGATGTAAAAGTTGGAGGAAAGAAAGGTTTGCCTAGAGAATTATAATTATATTTAGCTTTATTGAACTATATGTTTATAAGAACATGTTTATATATAGGTAATAGAAGAGAATCATAAAGGAAACATAATAATTGAAATATTCTCAATAATGTGGATTATATTATAATAATTAATACTTATAAAATCTTACTATAAATATATTGGACACATGTTATAATATTTATATAGTAGTGAACAATTGTTGTTGTTGTTGTGTGTCAGAAGATTTGCGGCCTTAGAGCAATAATTTAACGTCACATTAATGTATGAAGATCCAACACACACAAATAAAAGAAATATATAGTAAAAGGAGACATCATGATTATTTAG